CCCTATGTTCTCCACAGATTCATGATTTTCCATCTCCATATCCTTCTGCCTGGCACATGCTACCTTATATCCCTGTTAACCAATTAAATTTCTGATAATCAAAACAACAGATATCACCTCCTCCAACAAGTTCCTTCTGCTACTCTCCCACCCAGGGTTAGGTTCCCCATCTTCATATTGGTATCCAGATATTCTATTGTTTTGAAAAATATTTAAAGGGTATGAGGTTATTCTTCATCTCAAACTGAATATAAGGGAGGAAGGAGATACACTCTCATTAAAATAAAAACTATAGGGGCCGGGGATACAACTCAGCCGCACAAGCGCCTTCCTGGCAAATGCAAGGTCCTGAGTTTGATTCTCAGAATGAAAAAATAAAATAAAATAAAATAAAATAAAATAAAATAAAATAAAATAAAAGCTATAGAAAACAGAACTTACATGATTCTAAACAGAAAACTTAGTGTCCCCAGTCAGGACCACAGTCCCTGCTGAAATTGCCTGACAGTGCAGTCGCTCACATCCACTTTCACCATGATCCAGGCAAAGGAGATGTTTTCTTATGACTACTTCTTTAGGGTAGGAAAATCAACTGGTTACATGTGTAACACTTCTATGATGGCAACTCCTAAAATCCACATCTCCTAACTTCCTGCTCTGCCTTAGTCTGATTTAGTCTCTGCAGCTTCCTGTCAGCTGCTCCTCAGAGACATCAAGACAACACTTAAAAGCTAACACAGACTATTTCCTCTACTATAAAATGACCGCTAGGTCTCAGGATGTTTTTTCCCACTAAAAAGTCACTTGGATTCATTTTTTGTCTTAACCTGGCTCCTCTGGGGAATTTCCCCCTTACTGAGAAGGGACACAAAACAACAAGGCCTGCATTGACAGTCTGCAGCTATCATCCTGTCTCTGACAGGGGTGTTACAGGGGCGGTCGGGGGACTCCAAAGCACGCTTCAAAATGTGTGAACTATACTGACACCCACACATCCCCTGCAATGATAAAATACACAACTCCAACTTGTTATATTTTCTCAAATAAGTATCACATTACCTTTTGGAGAAAGACATTCCCTTGTATATCTTCTAAATTTACCTACCTAAAGCTTTAAGGGTGCCTTTAATTCTAGTATTTCAAGATTTAGAGAACAAACTCATACAGAACCATTCAGCCTCCTAGGAACCCATTAATTTTTATAAAAGATTAAAACAATTCTCTTGGTGTTTAGGGTTTTGGTTACTTGATGATAACAACATGGGCCAAAATTCCGTATTTGGCAAGATTTATCAAGAAAACAGGTTTCTTTTGCTGTGCTATAGGAATGATTCATGCTTGTATAAAGTTGTTCCCATAGTTTCTCATCAATTGTTTACTATGAGTGCTTAGGGGGTCTCCAAATTTCACTGCCATATCTACGGGAAATTCTTCCTTATATGAACCTACATGTGTATCTCTTCCTCTACCCTCGGTAAGAAAATGAGGTTCTGGAATATGAGATGGTCTCCATCTCATCAATCCCAGCATGAGCACCTTCATCTCTAAGCCTTGCCCTCGGCCTGAATTCACCAAGATACATTCCACTGTACTGGTTAAGAAAGCACCTGTCCCTGACACCAGGGGCTCTGGATACTTCTGGAACATAGGATAGCCATTTGTAACATGAACAGCAGGGCCCTCCCGTTTCAGGGCAAATCCCTTCTTTCGTGGCCTTCTTCATTCTACTACCACTGTTATAGTTAAAGCTTATTTCTCAAACAATTTCAACTGCAATCAGGAGTCCAACTGCCTAGGTTCAAGCCTCACACCATTTCCCTGACCCTGGAAAATTATTTAACCTGGGTTTTGTTTCCCCCTTGTTAAAGTGGAGTCACCAACAGTCTTCACCTTGTACAAATATCATGAGGATTAAATGAGGTGGTGCCTATAAAGTACCTGGCACAGTGCCTGGGACAGAGCAAGTCTTTCATAAATACTGTATTGTCATCATTCTCAGTAGCTTCCTAACTGGTCTGCCAGAGTCACTATCCTTTAACAATCTGTCTTCCATGCTACTCCTAGGGTACACTTTTAAAAGTATACCTTGACTATAAAATTCATCATAGAACATTTCAGAAAACATGAAGGAAAAGTCACCCATAGACTAACCACAGAAACAATCAACTGACATAGCTGCCTCTAGTTTTTCCAATTTTTAAAAAAAACTAGTAAGATTATCATTTATACTCTATTAATTTCTGGTGTTTTCACCAACCTTTGCCCATAATTTAAACACTTAACAGCACAAAGTAGATTTGTTTCTAATTCTCTGTTTAGAATGAGATGCAGGTAAAATATGACCTGGACTAGTAAATGACTAGCAGTGACGGTGCTCTCTGCTCCCCCTATTCTTGCCCACTGCCTGGTCCCCTCCAACTGCTGAGACAGCAGCTGTCATGTTGCCACTTCTGGGTATCTCGGACAGCGACTGTCTACTGCCTGTACTTTGGTTCACTGGCATCAAGCTGGGAAGTGTCCTCTCTAAGGGTTCCTCAGGTCCAAGGAACACAAGAGAACATAGCACAACTGGCCCTTCATCCACATGTGAACTTCCTGCTACCCCGAACCCCATGCTCATGCCTTCCCGGGTCTGGAGAGGCCACCTGCTCACTTCTCCTCATCTGTGTTCACTGATGCTTTCAACACCCAGCTCTGAATAAGAGCTGAAATTTTTTCATTTCTGAAATAAAACATTTCAGAAAATTTTATTTTAGAAAATTTTATTTTATTTCAGAAAAAAAAATAAATTTTTTTTTATTTCTGAAATAAAACATCCCCCTGCATGATGACAACCAAGACTGGTCTTATACAACTCTTGCAATGTAGCCGCTCCCTATGTGACAGTGCGGGAAGAGGTGGTACATGGCATGGGTCATTGGACATTTTATCACCTATTCGGTCTTCTCAAGTAAGCGACTAAGTTCTTCAGTGTTGAACCATTTCTCTTAATATTTATCTTCACCTGTAGTCATACAAGGCTTATAGCAATAAGGGAACAGCCCATCCTTTTTCTTTGTAACATACAGTATTCTCTTTCCTTTCTTCTTTCAGTACAACACCAGCCGACACTCTTCTAAGCATTGCAGCATACCAGAGGCAGTTCTAAGTGCTCGCTCCAATGAACTAACCCAACCCTCAGGCATCCCTATTGATTGGTTGCCATTATCATTTTCAGGGGACCCTGGAGGAAACAAACACTGAAAGTTGCGTGAAGTGCCCAAACTCTCTCAGCTGATAAGCAATGGAGTTCGAATTCAAATTTAAAAACTAGTTTAACCAACCTTAACATCTAGATAATTTTGAACTCAACAACTGAAACATTTACTAAACAGCAAGTGTCCTAAGCACTTGGAAAAGACACTTCCAACTTGCAAGGGGGAAGGACACCAAACAGAACGGAACAGGCAGTGGAACAGACATGCACAGTGGGAGGTGGAGGTATGTCCTCTGATCACTGTGATTAGAACAAGCTTCCCCCAAACACTGGGAGGTAAGGGGTCCATAGAAGTCATATCATTATCAATCGTGAGAAGCAGCAAGTTTAATGGGATGCACAATCCTGGAGCATATCTGTGAACATTCAGCAGGACTCTCCACATCTCAACCACTGAAGCATGGGTCCAGCTTTCTTTGCTCTCCATGTGAGTCCTTGTCACTAGCCCCTTTGTCTCATAGCCAGAAGTCAGGGGAAGTTGAAGGAGAAGAGCTCAGCCCTTCCTCACTGACCCAATGCAGCACCTCAGCAAATCACACAATTTACTTGCTATTTAGACATTTCAACACGAAGACAGCCTTTCCCTAACACCCATTTGTGTACCATAGAGTCACAGGAATGCAACATGCTTATCACCAGCATCCATGGTTTCTGTCAACACCCAAACTGCACATGTCTTTCATGGAATACTCCCCAAACAGCAGCACATAGGAGCCCAGGGAACCTGGTGCTTACCATTGCTCCCAGAACCTTGGTGATGCAGTCATGTACATGGGAGCTTCCTCAGAGGCCCTGTGGCCCTTCTGTCCCTGAAGGCAAGGCCCTTAATAAGGGCTGACTTAACTCCTCAGCACTGACTCACAGCACAGCTGCACATCCTATTCAAAAGTAACCCCGTTAAAACCCCTAACTCAGAGCTCCACATCTGGCCTTTGAGCAGCTTAAATACAGGCTGTACAAAGAGAATTCATTGCCTCCTCCATCAAACCTACATCCTCAGTGAACACCACCAAAGCTGAGACCAAAGTTGGCCTCATCTCCTCCTCCTAAGAGGCCCCAGAAGTCCTCAGAAATCCTGGCACCACCTATTCTTCCAGGCAATCATTTCCATTTCTTGCATGACTCCTCACAACTTTCTTACAGTTTCTCTACCAATCTTTTTTCCCCACCACAAGCCAGAATAGTCTTTCAAAAGAATAAGGTGACAGGGCTTTACTTGCTTTCAAACTCTGAGGAGCTCAGTACTTTCCATGGGATCAAATCCAATTCCTGACCTTGGCTACAGGACCTTGCTCTACCTGACCCTTGCCTACCCCACAAGTCCCTCAAGTCCCCCTTTCTTCATCCCCTGTACTCTTGCCAGACCAAGAACAGTCCAAACAAGTCTCACCGTCCCACAGTCCAGGCTGCTCGGTCTCCTAGAATGTCTCCGTTCTACCTGAGGCCCCTGCACAGCTCAGCACAGGTGCCACTTCCTACAGGAAAGCCTCCATGATGCCTTCAGCTAGACCTGTACCCGACAGCACCCGTCCCCATCTCCACTGCTACAGCACTCAACACGGTGCATCATGATCGGCTTCTATCAGTGTCTTTTCCACGAGCCTCCCTCTCAGCTCATTTCTGGGTTCCCAGGACCCTGTGTGGGGGTCAGCACACAGTGAATGTTTGTCGCATGAAAGACAGAGCCTAGATTCCAAGTCCACCAGGTGCAGCTCTTTGCCCTTCCCCATACCCTGTAACTTACCAACACAATCACAAGTGGGAAACTCAGCCTGGGCCCTCTTGGCAGGTGTGTCCAGCAGGCTTTTGGTGGGTGTGTCTAGGTACTTGAGAGGTGACTCCAAGAAGCCACTAAGGGTGGGTGTGAGCGGATTCTCAGCCTTGGTGGGTGTGGCCTCCTGGCCTCCTTCTTCTGAATGGAAGCAGGTGGTTGACAGTACAGTCACAGCTCCTGAAGACTCAATCTTGATTTGCTTGGGGGAACGGGTAGCAAAAGGGCTCTCGGGGGCTGGGAGACATGTTGGCTGGTTCTCGGGATCCTGAATGGGCACAGAGGGGGGGCCAGGAAGCCCAAAGCTATCCCCAAATTCAGCCTCAAACTGCCGGATGAGCTCTTCCAGCTTGTCATCAGCAGGGGGAAGGGGGCCAGCAGAGCCTGGCTGCAGAGTGGCCATAGGGCTGGGGGACCTCATTTCCTGAGTAGGGGGCAGCAGGCTGTCCCCGGAGGGACTAGGTGCAAATAGCGCAAGAGAAGGTTCTGTGGGCAAGGGGACAGCAGAGCCCTGTGAGGCAGGGAGAGGGACAGGGGCCGAGGCAGGGAGAGGGACAGGGGCCGCCGGGGCAAGGGCAGGGGCAGAGACAGGCGTAGAGAGAGGCGTGGAGAGAGGGGTTGAGAGAGGGGCTGAGAGAGGGGCTGAGAGAGGGGCTGAGAAAGGGGCAGGTGCGTGTGCCTGCACTTCCTCAGAGGCTGGGGGCCTCAACCCTTCCAGGATGATCTGTCGGACAGGCAAGAAGAGGGGTTGCGCTTCCCGTGGTCTGGACTTCTTGATCTGAATGGGTTTTCGGACACTGGGCTTGATCCCAGGGGCAGCTTTGTCTGTTCCCACAAGACCTCCAGCTGGTGTGAGGGGCTTCTTCTTCTTCTCCTTGGGTGGTCTGTCTGGAGGCCGTGGAGCAGGTGAGCTTGGTGGGGCCCACCAGCTGGAAGCAGGAGGCTCTCCAGGAGGAGGACAGGAGGCATCGTGCGTCTGTTCTAGGAAGAGACTACGCTTATGGTGGAGGTGCTGCTGCAGGGCGGTCTGGGCCTTCTGGTGGGTGTCAGGCTCCGAGCATGGTGTTGGAGCCTCCCTCTGGAGAATGGGGGATGAGGACAGGGCTGGGGAAGAAGAGGGTGCCTCAACCTTAACCTTGGGCTTGCTGGGCAGGGCCTCAGGCCTCTTAAATACTGACTGGATGTAATCACTGGCACTGCCCAATAACTGCTCCAGTTCAGCCATGGGGTCGGGGCTTGGGCGGGGCACCGGCCAGGAGTTCCGAGGTGTCGCTGGTGGGGTGTCAGTGCCCCAGGCTTCAGGAAACTCAGTTCTAGGAGGTGCTGGAGGGAAGGCAGGGCTATCAGGAGGAAAAGACAGGTGCTCCTCAGAGGGAACCACAGGCCACGAAGGAGCCCGGAGGTAGGACTGGGGAGACTTGAAAGGGGCAGGAGGGGACAAGGCCTCAGGGAGAGGGCATGGAGCCTGGGAGGTGGAATGAGAAGGCTGGGGCAGGGTGGAGGAGAGCTGTGTGAGGGCCTCGATGGCAATAGCAGTCTGCAGGCTGATGTTCTTTTCCTTGGCGATGCTCAGGGCACTTTGGGACAGGGGCAGGCCCTCCAGGGGAGGTATCTGGGGGACCTCAGAGCTAAGAAGTGGCCTGGTGCTTGGTGCTGGGAGGCCAGCTTCACCAGGGGGCAGAGTCCCTGGGACCCTGGGCCGCTCCTGCGCTCCTTCCATAACCACAGACTTGATCTTCCCCTCCAGCCACTCGAGGTAGTCAGGGCATTCTGGGCCATCGCAGTTGCAGTTGGGTGGTTTCATGCCATGCCGTGCAAGAGCCAGGGCCGTCTGCAGCGTGTCAAGGTCTTCACTGCCAGCAGAGCAGCTCTCAGGCCCTGGCCGGGGGCCCCTGCTGTTATTTCCAGCTTCACGACTCATCTCACGGTTGAAGGTTTCATAGAGCCGGGTGCTAAGGGCCCCATAAGAGGACACAGCTTCGGCCACAGCCGAAAAGGCCACCAGATCGTGAGCATCTTCCAGGCGAGCAGTGTGAGCTGGGCCTGGGGCAGCGTCCCAGTCGGGCTTCTGGTCTACCCGCCAAGGACCTGCAGTCCCCAGCAGACTGGGTCCAGCGGGCTCTCTAGCACCATTGACCGGCGCCCCTGAGGTGCTTAGCTGCCGTGAGTTCCCATGGTACACTGGCCCTGAGTCCATCTGACCTGGAACAGGTCCATCAACTGGGCTGAGCTCTGAGCCTGTCTGGAGAGAGAGGGGAGAGGAAATAAAGGGGGAAAAATGAACCACATTATTCGAAAAGCATCTCTTTGCTTCACACCACTCTAAACCCTGCTTTTCTTGCAAATCCTCTTTTTGAGCCTCAGTTCATCTTCCTATGTCTCTGTTCCTTAGCTAGCTTCACCAGCAAAAATGGAAGGAAGAACTGTAAGACATCCTAATACGGAGTTCTCAGTGTTGCCCAGGCCTTAAAAGCTGCAGATCAATCACACTGACAGAGCTCCATCAAAGCCAAGGACACCAAAAAGTGGGGGGTGGGGGGGTGGTTTCTTAATTTACTGTGAATTCACAGTGACCAAAGTCACACTAGAACTGTTTATCCTGGTTTTCTAACGAAGCCCAGCACATAACCATGTGCTGTAAGTGGGAAATCTGTGTGTGCAGGTGTCAGGAAAGCTGCTTTCACAAACTCAACCTGGAACATGGTTCACAGCTTCCTACTGGCAAGGAATCTACAGTTCCCTTCTCTCCACATTACTGTCTCTCTTAAGTCCAGGCTGAGTGAGCTCAGAGAGGTGGTGACAGATCACACTCCCCCACACAGCCCTAGGCCTGAGGGAACCAGTGATGACCCGACACAGTGCGTGGTCAGCCTCATGCTGAGCCGATCATGCTGATGACAAGTAAACTGCTGCTGGTGAAAAGATTTAGACCTTTCCCCAAGCCCAGGAAGCACCATCACACACGTTACCTACAGAAGCACACAAAAGGGAAGGTATGACAGGAAGGAGGCCAGAAGGGCCTGGCCCAGTAAGGCTAAAGCAAAGATGTGAAACTGAATTTGCAAAACTCATCCTTCCAGAAAGGAAAGCTCTTCCAAGACAGAACACAGAAGCAATGGTAGGTTTCAAAAGTCCCAGTAGATGCTGCAAGTACTAGATGGAAGTCTGACAAGATACAGGATATATACACAGTCTCAAAGCATCTCCTGAAGATTACTTAATTATAATAATAAGTATATCTCCTGTTCTAGCCACAAAAGACCCCTGTTTACCTAGCAGGCTATGTTCTCCAACATCACCAAACTTTGCATATGCAAAGTGGAAAAATCTAGTGGACACCTCCTTAAACAAATGGTCAAAGTTATCACCAGTATTGGGACAAAACAACATCATATGCTTCTTAATACGATACACTAAGGACTTGAATTTATTCATGAGGAAATGTCATATAAATCCAAATTGCAGGGTATTCTAAGAAAGTACCCCAAATATTCTCAATTCAGCCTCAGTATTTTGACAGGTGTGGTGGCGCACACCTGTAATCGCAGCACTTGGGAGGCTGAAGCAGGAGGATCATTTGAAGTTCAAGACTAGCCTGGGCTACAAAGTGAGCTCAAGGCCAGCCTTAACTGCATAGTGAGACCCTATCTCAAAAAGACAAAAAAAACCAACAACCCCAAAATATTCTCAAAAGCTCTTCTATCTTACATGAGACAAAAATGTATGCTCATAGATTAAATCTTGCACTAGGGGAAAAACAGCAATAAAGTATATTATTGGGACAATTCGTGAAATTTGAATATGGACAAGATACTACTGTGTTCATCTTTTTTTTTTTTTTTGTCTTTTTTTGGGACAGGGTTTTGCTATGTAGTTCAGGTTGGCCTGGACTCACTGTGTAGTCCAGGCTGGCCTCAAACTCACAGCAACCCTCCTGCCTCAGCCTCGTGAATGCTGGGGTGACAGGTGTGTGCCACCACGCCCAGTTTACTGTGTCCATCTCAATCTGGACTTGGGTTATTAGATTATAGTTATATAAGAGAATGTTCCTGCTCTTAAGACACACACACTGAAGAGTTCAAGGGCGAAAGGACATAACAGTTCCAACCTCATTTCAAATAGTTCTGAAAAAAATACACATATATAGAGAAAATGACAAAGCAAATGAAACAAAAATATAAACATTTTGGGTAAAAAGAAGCTAGTTCCTCTAATAGAATACAAAGTACTTTAAACAGAGGCTAAAATGATGCTAGCCCCAGAACTGTCAGACATGGCCATCATGGGCTCCCAAAGTAGTAGGATCAGCTCTGTGAGAAGTGAGGGCTCAGCCAACAGGTCCTGCTTTATCCTCATCACTGCTCCTGTTCTAGCCACAAAAGACCCCTGTTTACCTAGCAGGCTATGTTCTCCAACATCACCAAACTTTGCATATGCAGTTACCAGCCTTCCCAGCCTGTTAGAGGGGTCACTCCGGCTTATCCTTTAAGCTCCAGCTTAGTGTCACCTCCGCCTACCCAACTGGCAAAGTTATCTATGGTTCTTTCTCCTGGATTCTCATGGCACCTTGTACACCATGGATCCCCCCCGCCCCGTCAGGTTCCCATGGCACCTATAGCACATGCCACGACTATTTCATGTTCAAGTGGCTACCTCCCCCACCAGGTACTAGTTCCTGCAAAGTAATGTCCAAATCATAATGACTTCTGTGCCTCCTGCCCATAGCTAGGGCAGTAACATGCTTCTAGGACACTGAAAGGCCTCTTGTTCCCTGTTGGCCACAGAATCGTCCAGCCTCTCCCTAACCCTGGTGGAAGATGACCTTCTAGACACCTAAGAATACAGATGATGACCCCACATTCTCTTCTTAAAAGCATACACTAAAGTGTCTAATGAAGACTACCAAATCTGAAGTGCTCAAAATTTACATGCTTATGTACAAAAGACAGAAGAAGCATGCAGAATCAAGATGAAACATGAGAGTAGCATGGATTTACAAAAACAGTGTCAGAAAGACTAATGCTCCCTGAGCTGAGACTTCCCCAAAATGGTCAGGACAACTAAAAGGGATTTTAAAAGTTATTTCTGGTGTGTGAATAAGAACGAGGAAGGACTAGGCTAGCTTTGTGCCTCTGGGTTCTCTGGAAAGAAAAATGCTTTTTGAAATAAATAGAGGAGGGAAAAGCAGATATTGCTATAAGGGGAAGGAAGTGAAACCAGCCTGGTTGGGAGATTTTAAGAAACGCTAGAATCCAGTTTCCCAGCCAAGGGATCCTACTGATACGTTTCTCAACACCTGTCAGTGATCATGAAGCAAACTGGCCAGCAGGAGAAGGTGCTAATGGAAAGAGGGCAAGAGCCAGCCCCAACTGTTGGTCTACCGAGTTTAAGAACAGCCCCAGTTAGGATTCCTGAAAGAATAAACAGAGGAACCACATGAAGTCAGGCTGACCATCAACCTGTCAACATCAACCAATCTCACTGATTTGCGCCATGTGGTCAAGTAGATACAGAGACACCCTAGCTGACAGGTACAGGCCAAATCTGCCACAGATCTGTTTTTGGGTTTGTTTTTGTTTTTGTTTTGTTTTGTTTTTTGTCTTTTTGAGACAGGGTTTCACTATGTAGTTCAGGCTGGCCTTGAGCTCACTCTGTAGCCCTGGCTGGTCTTAACTCGAAATGATCCTCCTGCCTCAGCCTCCCGAGTGCTGGGATTACAGGCATGCGCCACCATGCCCTGCACACAGATCTGTTTTGTTTGTCCTGTACAGTGTTAATGCCTGATTTCCCAACATTCAAAAATAAAACTGCCTATGAAACCTTGGTATTCCTGAAGGTCCCCATTTCTATCTGGCAAATTTGTCTGTAACAGTGCAGTTACCACTTACCACTTACCCAGAACATAACTTTCCTAGTTCATTCCCCAGTTGCTCCACTCCACATTGTCCTCTTGAAACCAAGTCCAGGGGTCAGAGATCACTTATTAATTGCCTAAATTAATTATCACATCATTCACTTGTGTTACCTGCCAAACCCTTGCAGGATTTTCAGTTTGCAACTCAGTCTGCAGATGTTTAAGTTTCACAAGGTCTGCTATGACCCCTCTGAGGTCAGCTCCAGAGAATTACAGGCTGTTAGGGCTGGCTGCCCCCCTGGTAGGTGACCATGCTCAAAAAACAGAAGAGGTGTGGCAAATCCTGAGGGGAAAATTAGTGATCTACCACAGGGCTTTGTTCTCACAACTGTCCTGTTCAACATATTTACAGAGAAGGAATACTTAAATAGGCAGGTGTTAAAAATAGTGAGAAAACTATGTTGAGTGACAGCAGCAGGTGCTCCAAGGTCAAACAGGCTGGACCAGATGCCAAAAGATCAACAGGCTAGAAAGGGAAAAAATTAACAGAGCAAACTGGATCCCATACTAAGACCCCAAACTATGTCTATGCAAATTAAAGATAGGAAAAGCACCTAAAAATGGCAGTGGGCATTTAAATTTTCAGGAATTAGATGGGATAAACATGGACAACTAACTGATATCATCCAATATGATATGATGTGACTTTTTCAAACTTTCTGACTACAATCCATATTAAGAAGTACATTTTACACTGTGATCCACTGAGTACTTCTAAATGACATTTTACAAAATAATACTTCCCCTTACTAGACGAATACATTTTCTTCTTTCCTTCTTTCTTTTTAAATGCAGGTTACAGTCTTCTGAGATGATGTCATTCTCTACTAATGGGTCCCATAGCTGAACACATACACTTATGACATAACCTAAACAGGACCCATACCACAGGCAGTGACAGCACTGCTCTATCCAGACAGTCTCACTGGAACACAGGCTTCCCTTTGGGGCCACATCTTCAGGGGCACAATGAAAGCCAGACAGCTTAAAACTGTAAGAGGGTAGCCCATAAATGTATACAAGTATAATTTGTCAACAAAAACAACTCATATAAGAATTAGACTTAAATGGCTCTTGGGGCGGAATTAGAAAGTGGGTAAAGCTGTAGACAGAAGAACTTAACTTAATGAGAGAATTTTCTTAATATAGTGAAATTCAAAAATACAATGAACACAGTCCCCTATCAGTCAGGAGGTAGTATTATTCATGCAGATGTGGATAAGGTAACCAAGGACTAATTGTCTGGCAGTCATCAGCAGGGTGGGTGGCAGGACAATGCTAGAGGAGAATGGAGGTCCTTTCAGAGTCCCAGCTCAGACCTTCTTCAA